GTTACGGTCGAGGCGTCTATTTTTCACGCAGTGCACTCGAAAGTCATGGATATACGAAAGCGAACCAAAGTGCTGAACGTCATATGTTTTTAACGCGTGTTCTTGTTGGAAATACAATGCAAGGAAACAGTTCAGTAAAGTATATACCAGATGGTTATCATACAACATCCAATGGAAAGGATATTTTTGTTACGTATCACGATTCACAAGCGTATGCAGCTTATTTGATTGTTTATAAGTAATGATTGTCATAAAACGACATAAAATTTTTAAAAAGTATGGTTTACATAAAAAAATATAGAAATAACTGATGCAACAGGTTAAATTGCCAACTTTTGCCTGTCTTTTTTCCAAGTTAAGCTGATCAGAAACTTTTGTTATTTATACTGAAAGACAGAATTTTGTGTAGATTTTGATTATATGTTCTTTTTAGAAGAAATATTTGCCGTTTGTATCAAGATAATACCTGTAGTTCGATATGCTCTACTATCTAGAACTTAACTTTTCTTATGTTTTTATCAAATGTTTTAAAATTTTTTGCAATATTTGATATTCTATACTTGTTCTGCCGTATTTGCACTAACTGCATTTTCCATTAAGGAGTGATAACCACCCCTGTTTTACTTCATAACTTTGTTGCATCAAGCTGTATATACCATGAAGTGTTTTCGATGAACAGACTTGTAATTTTCCTGAGATAAGAATTTTTTACGAATTTCATACGATTTTGATCCTCTATTTAAAAAGTTTATATAAAATTCAAAATTAAAGCTGAAACTCATATTGTTACGCAGTTCGAAAGAGCACATTAAGTGACATATATCGCCAAGTTATAATGAAAATTGAACCAGCTGTGTCTGAGAAAATTAACAATTTTCATTCTAGTGCAGTTTGAGCCCTTAAAGTAATTTTTTGAAACTTATGGACGCATTTCAAAAACAACGAAGCATTTTGAAGAAAAACTTTCGCTGTCAAAGTTGTTCAAGATAATTCAATTCATACGCTAAGCAGGGCACTTTTTTCATTTTAGTGGGACTTATTCAGGTAGGTGAGAGAACAGTAGCTACCAGAGTTTCTCACATATCGATATTCTTTGTGGTACTACATTATAGAGGACGTTCGATATTGTCTGAACGATACCATAATAGCTGTGAATTTTGCCGTACTGTTGGTACAGTACAGTAGTGCAAAGTGCCTTATAGAATACAGTAGATAAAAATAAATGAAAATAATACCTAACCAACCCCAAAACGATTCAAGGCTAAAAAGATACCGAAAATCTTTCAGAGTTCTGCTAATTAATTAATAACGAATTAATTACTTCGTTAGAATCAGTTACATATCTTGATATTGAGTTTTTTCAAGACAGATTCTATAACAAAACTTGTCGACAATCTTGAACTGTAAGATGATCTGAGAATCTTGTCAGATATCAACAAATCCGCATAACGGTTTGTACACGTAACTGGGTACTTCGCTGATCAAGTTTTTAAAAAAATTATTTTAGAGTAGAACTGAACAAAGTATATCACTAGATGTAGTTTAAAAGTTAAATTTTGGCGGCAGAAATTCAGTTTTACGTTTTTTGAAAACTGTATTTTCAATTTACTCAGCGAGATACTTTTCCTAAAAGAATGGAAGGCCACACTAGTTGATAGAGAAATCGATTCTCTACAAGATGGTATGTTTCTTTTGGAGTTTAGACTCAAAAACAAGCTTTCTAATCAAGTTTTAAGTATTGAGATTCTCAGACAATTCTAAGGGAGTGAAAACATTTTTTCGACTTTATTTTCACGTTAGTCTATAGCAGATGCCTAGAACTACGTTCAATGTGAAAAGCAAATTCTTTGAGTAATGTTTAACGCTCCAAAATTTGTTGGGAGAAAAGTATGTCACCGCGTCACGACGATAAAACACAATTATTGACGGATGGAAAGCTCATCAGAAAATTTCCTTTTTAGTAATCAATAGCTCGTTTCCTCCTCTACAAACTTTGCTCCAGGCGCTTTGTATTAGCTCTTCTAAATTCATGGCAAATTAGCGTTTAATTAGAAGAACTTCGAATTTAGGGCCATTTTTGTCACAGCATCACGCACCGAAAAAAGATTCTAAAAATTCGAGTCTTTAGCCAAATACCTTCGTTTTTTATATCGAAAGCAGAGTATGCGAGCTGCGTCGAATGGCGTAAGAATGAAGTTTCTAGCTGATACAGTTTTTGCGAAAAACTCAATTTACTGTGTCAAAAATGTCACAGCGTCACGGTTGGACAAGCCGATAAGATCTTGAAAGAACTGAACAGAAACTTAAGAAATCTTTTAAGTTTTTATCAAGATATGCAGCCAAGATGTTTTACTTGGGTAATTTTGTTCCGTTTCTATTTTAATCCCCTACTATCCATCCCAAAATACAGTGCCGGTGGGCAGTATTTGAATAATTTTTGATAAGAATGAGATAGAGACCTGCAATTTTCGCTGTTTAATAGCCAAGACTTGAGCAGAACTTTTCACAAGCGGAAGCGACTTTTGAAAAAATTCCAGAGATCGGGTTTTCAGAGGATCTTTGGAAAACCAGCTTCGTTCTTAGAAAACTAACATACAAAGTTAGTAATTTTTTTGCATGCGTAGATAGTCCGGACGTTACTCTGCAAAATTATGCAAGTCCCGGCTCTCCAGCTATCGTTGTTCGGGCAGGGCTCACTTTCCCCGAGCACGTGTCTATCTTCTAGCAGACATCTCTGGGAATCTCAAAATGCCATGGAATATAGGTAATCGACTACGCTGAGCATAGTGGCAACATTTGTTTCTGTGTAGAAATGAATATAACTTCGCCAGAGGCATTGTTGTGAAAAACCGATTTTTCGCCTGTTACTAGCAAAAATTAAAATCCTTATATCTCGATCAAATCTCATGCTGACTCAAGGAAATTTTCAGGAAAGGCTTAAAAGGTGCCATCTGTTGTTGACCATCTGTTGTTGACCGAAAAAGTAGTCCAGCAGAACACTGATGCTCTGAGGTTTTTCAGAAGGTTTATGGAAAACTTTAAGCCAATGCCCAGCTCACATTCACCTTTTTCGTCTTCGATTATGCTGTATGAGCTGTCCTGAGAACGAAGCTGGTTTTCCAAAGATCCTCTGAAAACCCGATCTCTGGAATTTTTTTAAAAGTCGCTTCCGCTTGTGAAAAGTTCTGCTCAAGTCTTGGCTATTAAACAGCGAAAATTGCAGGTCTCTATCTCATTCCTATCAAAAATTATTCAAATACTGCTCACCGGCACTGTATTTTTGGATGGATAGTAGTTTCTTTTCCTTCCCTTATTAATATGCTTAAGTTCAGCGAGTAATCCCATTCAAGTTCAGCTTGAAAATCATGATATGTATTCAATAAATATATAGTCATTTGTGTCTACTTGTGTGAAAATTACAACGAATTATGATAAAGATTTTTCGTGTATTTTTTTAACAAGTTTCTTTTTTGTTATTGTTGAATATATTTTGATATGCATTAATACATATATCCAATCAATAAACAAAACATGATTTTACTGACTATAATATATGGTTACACATAGAATCTTTTTTTTTAGAAAAAAAAATTCAAATTATATGTGTGCCGGCCGCAAGCTAAAATATTTCATTGAACTTGCCAGCAATTTATTTTCATGTTTATGATGCATTATGAGAAATAAATTAGATGTGTTTTATGAAACAAGACTGAACTGAATGTAGTCCCGGATAAATTCTCTGGCTGCTAGATGCGTTCGAGATATTATTGCTCAATGTGTCGCGCGAAGTTATAAAAAGCCCCTTCGAACTTTAAACTATTTAGTAAGCCGGAGTCTCGTTCGTTATCGAAATTAATCGACAAATCGCTCCACGAACTACGAACGACCATGCACCACCACCCACCTAATCAAGAAAGAGCTCTCAATCTGTAAAAGTGTCCTGGCCAAGTTTTCCCGTGTTGAGTCAAATTAGCTCACAGGCTCCACTTCTTGTGTGCCCTTACGTCAATTCCTTTAAGTTTCAGCTTTGCAACCATACTTCCCCTGAACCTAAACACTTAAGATTTCTCGAAATCCGCTAGATGAGTCATATAAATAATCGCATCTAAAAGACAGTTGGCAACCTTTATGGTTTGAACTAGGACGGTATCTAATCGTCTTCGAACCTCAAACTTTCGTTCTTGATTAATGAAAACATTCTTGGCGAATGCTTTCGCAGTTGTTCGTCCTGTAGCGATCCAAGAATTTCACCTCTCACACTACAGTACGTACGTGCCCCTCTGATCCTGTTAATCATTAACTCAATTCTTAAAACCAACAAAATAAAATCGAGTTCTTATTTTATTATTCCATGCAATTTTATTCTGGCGTTAACCTGCTTTTAGCACTCTAATTTTCTCAAAGTAAACGTTCTGGCAACTGATGACACCTTTTTAACTGCAACAACTTTCGCTTACGCTAACAGAGCTGGAATTATCGCGGCTGCTGGCACCAGACTTGCCTTCCATCTGTTAATCAATAACTCTTTTACAGTGTTTGCATTCCGATTGTCAGCTTATAATAGACTAACATCGTTATTCTTTATAACATCCGGAAATCGCCGTCGCCGCGGATTCAGTGTTAAAGTGTTAACACTTTAGCATTAACACTTTAACACTTTAACATATACGAACTCGCGGCGAGTGAGGGTGAAGGTGGAGAGGTGAGAGTGAAGTGGGTGAAGAAGTGCTCCACCCTCATCCTCACTACTTCACCCTCAGTTATGCACGTTTATCCTTTTACACTTTAACATATAAGAATCCGCGGCGACGGCGATTTCCGGATGATGCCTTATTCTTCGTCACTACCTCCTCGTTTCGAGAGTGGGTAATTTGCGCGCCTGCTGCCTTCCTTGGAAGTGGTAGCCATTTCTCAGGCTCCCTCTCCGGAATCGAACCCTAATTCCCCGTTACTCGTGAAAACCACGGTAGACAAGTAATGTACCGCCTAAAGTTGATTAGTCAGACAATTGAAAGATATGTCGCCGACACAGAGGTCATACGATCAACAAAAAGTTATTTACGCCGGATCGTTTGGGGAGTTCAGGTAATAAAATTCAGCGCCTTGCTAGTAGGATCATTTCACAAGATTTTAATAGTTTTTCTTCTTCTCTACCCAAACAATTTAAAATTCAACCGCTTTCAAACAGACCTCTATATATTATCGCCTTCTCTATTTTTATAAAATTTTTAATCATAAAAGT